ACGCGACGCCGATCGTCAGCGGGAGTACCGCGGCGGAGAACCCAAGCTGCTTGAATGTTTTCGTACGAAAAAGTTTCTCTCCAAAGGGTATTTATAAATAAAGGGTATTCCAGGGTATTTATAACGTCTTAGCATGCGCTCTTTAATTTACAGTATGAGAGGAAATAACATTATGCAATATAATGCATCTTATGGAAGGCCACTATAGTGGCCCATAGTACCTCAGTGGCATCTTATGAAAGGCCACTATAGTGGCCCGTAGTACCTCAGTGGCATCATACGAAAGGCCACTATAGTGGCCCGTAGTACCTCAGTGGCACCATATGGAAAGCCACTATAGTGGTCCGTAGTACCTCAGTGACATCTTATGGAGGGCCACTATAGTGGCCCATAGTACCTCAGTGGCATCTTATGAAAGGCCACTATAGTGGCCCGTTGTACCTCAGTGGCATCATACGAAAGGCCACTATAGTGGCCCGTAGTACCTCAGTGACATCTTATGGAGGGCCACTATAGTGGCCCGTAGTAGCGAAAGGGTTAATTGTCCGCCGCGGACCTTACACAGGGTGTTCCAATGTTAATACGAGTCCTGTCATCGCCGGTCGAATGGACCGGTCTCGCGTCTTTTATTCTCAAATTGTCGAAATTATGGGGATTTTTTCTGAAGAAACGATTTAATCAATTTTCTTATTCGAGTATTATTGTAATAAAAATGGTGAGAGGCTCGAATAAGGACAGTCTTTTCATCGCGATGATGCAACATGTGTTAGTTTCTCTCAGATAGGTTTAGTGTTAAATCGACAAACTTTAGGTATGAATTCGGGACCGTGAAACAAATTTTTTCCTGCGCAACCATGCTCGAAAGTGCTTCCGTCAAGAGATATTTGTTTTGTCCGTACGTTCGGTTAGTCGCCTAACGTACATGCGCGACCGAACTATTGTACGCTCGATTCGCGTTTCCTACGGCAAATTAATGACGTGGAAGGGTCTCTAGTAGTCTTAGAGAACTTTATTTTTTGTGTTGTACTCTCTGCGAGCGCTGGTGGTAGAATGCTCTTCCAACGCTAGAAAGTCGTGGAAGAGCACCCGTGGATGGAGGTAGATTATTTATTATTGGTCAAGGCACGAATCACCCCTTGGAGGGGGGTGTCTGCCTTGACCCTTGTTGGGGCCTGAGAGGGTTTCCCCAATGGTGGGACCTTTTTATGGCCCTTGTCTCTGGACGCAACAATATTTACTGCTGAAGTTGCAGTATTTAGTAATGTATGCTATATCGAAACAATTCGGGTTTGTCACGTGCAGCAAAGAGCAAATGTGGAGATCCTTCAAAACGGTACAACATTTCCAAACCTGGACTAAATGACTTGAATTTTTATTTAGAATATAAAGCAACTAGTCTACTAAATAATGTGTCTAAAGTGTAATTGCATTACATTAAAGTCTAGAATTGTTTGTTTCAATCGTCAATCAATTTCCGTCGTAAACGCACGAAGTCTAATTATTACGCGCGGAAAATTTTGGATTCGCAGAAATAGCCCACGTTATGATAATCAAATTAATTTGTTTTAATACACGCACATCGAGATTTTAAAACGCGAAATTCCGGGTACTTTTTCATGTAATGCATAGCATGACTGATAATGATGGAAACTGTAGAATCGCAATAAAGAAATTCTTGCGTTGCGGAGCAATAAAATGTTGCGTTCTAGCGATGAAATGTAACCTGAAGGATGCGTGGGACACTACATATAAGGAAAGAAAGCTCGATGAACAATAGTAGGAGTATTATTTTCTTTTTATCTGAAGAAAGCATCGAATTTTTTACGTCTGATTTTACATTGTACAAATGCATTGTCTTTGGACAGTCGAATTACTTTTTATCACTTCTCGAGCAGTTGTCGTACAGTTATTATATAATTATTAATACAATTATTAATTATATTACTTATTATTATATACAGTTATTAATTATATTATTTATTATTATATACAGTTATTAATTATATTATTTATTATTATCTAAAATTAATATAATATTATTAATATATATAATATTATTTATTATTATTTAAATTAATTAATTTATTACTATAAAAAAGATGTTCACGTTTAATACATTATTTCCCTAAATTCCACGTTAAAAGCCATGCAATCGGAAAGGAAACATTTCGTGGCACTCACCTTTTTCCGTGGCCGTCGAACAAGAAAGTTTCAGCCCCGAAACTTCGAGGGCGGTTCTCACCGGTTCGGCAGAAACGACCTGCAAAAAAACGCGCTCAATAAATATTCCCGCGAAGACCGCGTCTCATAAATTCCAACAAATCGAACAGAACTACGGCAAAGTTTAATCGTAGTTTACAATGGAACGATTACTTCTTTTCTGCCGCCTGGGCGGCAATTTCCGGCGTTTTCCGCGCCGAAGAGCAATTTGTCGCTCGAAACACCGTGGAACGCCGAGCTCGCCGTGTTCCGCTCGCGAATTGCCGCGAATCGGTCGCCGATCGACGTGTTTTCCGCGCGAGACGACGCCTGCTCGGCCGACAAAGGCCCGAAGCGTGATTAACCGAGCCGCGCGCGCGGCGGATGAAACGCTTTTGTTCCGCGTAGCCGCAAAAATCGAGCGGCCTGGTCGCCGGATCTGGTCGCCGGGAAACGCGCGGTTCCGCGCGTGGAATCGCCGGCCGATAATATCCCCGCTATTTTTCCGCTTTTTATCCGACGTTTAATTACAGCGCCGACGGACACGGGTGATTAATCGCGCGTCGCCTATCGGCTATTATTACGGGCCCGCGATCCATCCCTTCCCGTCGAGACGTCCCAAGAAAAATACGGGGGCGAGCGCGATCTCCTTAATTGCCGTTATCAATTCCCTTAAACGAAGACAGTAAGTTATCCTGTCCGGGGCGAACCGGGCAATTAACGTCTCAGCCGTCCTCTGCCCCCGTGGCTTTCACCCTCGTTCAGTTGCCGATTACCGGCCCGGAATCGATCCGGACAGAACGCGAAATGTTTTCGTTCGACGGCAGCCTGTCCGGCGAACGCGATCACGGAATGTAACTTTCACGAATTTCTCATCTTATCGACGGACTAATCTCGATCGTGAGCACGAGTCACCAACTTATTTCAGTTGCTGGAAGTAGATCGGGAAATATTAGATCACATCGAAGCCTGCAATGTCGTCATAAAAATATATAAAAATAAATATAAAAATAAATATAAGAATAAATATAAGAATAAATATAAAAATAAATATAAGAATAAATATAAGAATAAATATAAGAATAAATATAAAAATAAATATAAAAATAAATATAAAAATAAATATAAAAATAGTAATATATAATAATAAATCTAAAAATAGTAATATATAATAATAAATCTAAAAATAGTAATATATAATAATAAATTTAAAAAAATATATAAAAGTAGAAAAATGATTTTTGTATTCTGGGGAATCTTGAATTTTGAATAAAGATTCGAAATTTAAGAAATCGAATAAAACAGGAATCGCCTGGGAATCCTCTGTTATTTGTCAAACGTTTGAAAAGTTGAATTTTTCTATGCCGTCCTCGTCAGTCAAATAACTAACATTCCCGATCGTCCGTAAAACGATTTGAGAACGGGAAATAATCCGACGTATAAGAAGCCGTGACNAATAAATATAAGAATAAATATAAGAATAAATATAAAAATAAATATAAAAATAAATATAAAAATAAATATAAAAATAGTAATATATAATAATAAATCTAAAAATAGTAATATATAATAATAAATCTAAAAATAGTAATATATAATAATAAATTTAAAAAAATATATAAAAGTAGAAAAATGATTTTTGTATTCTGGGGAATCTTGAATTTTGAATAAAGATTCGAAATTTAAGAAATCGAATAAAACAGGAATCGCCTGGGAATCCTCTGTTATTTGTCAAACGTTTGAAAAGTTGAATTTTTCTATGCCGTCCTCGTCAGTCAAATAACTAACATTCCCGATCGTCCGTAAAACGATTTGAGAACGGGAAATAATCCGACGTATAAGAAGCCGTGACTCGGAGCGCCGCGTTTTCACGTCGTCGCCGGTATAACGGAGCGTAATTTGGCCAGCTTCGTTCTCATGCACCGCTCGGTTTCATAACGCACAGGCGAGACACAAGGGAGCCGGTCCGGAAATACGCTCGGCGAGAAATCGCTTTCGAATCAAGGGGACAGCGGCCAATTTGTCGCGCGCCAGATGCTGAAACTTTCCCGTTGAAAAACGATCGTGCTCTCCAGCGTTTTCTTTTCACGGAGCCGCCTTCTGCCGCGACGGTCTGTTGCACGCTCGTACACGAAGACGTGAGAAGCAACATGAAAACAGCGCCGATTCAGTTTCGACTGCTTTCGCCGGACTTTATTTACGGCGAGCAATAATCTTCGTCGCGATGATACCGGAACGGAGCATTTTTATTTCGCGGCGCCGCGATCGATCGAGGCTTTTTCGTGGAGCTCCGAACGCTGCGATCGATCGATTATTTTTGATAACGCGCTGAGAACTTTGCGATTGATAGGGTAAGTATGCGTATTACTGTGGACGCCCTAATTACTGGGGTATTTTATAAAAGTAATAAAATCTAACATTTTATAGCGTGTGATTTTCTAAAAATGAATCTCATCATTATTTATATGTTTAATATTGATTGTTTATGACATGCAAGTAACAGCAATCGCAGTTTTAATTTATTGACTTTTGATATTCGGAGGCTTATGAAAACGTTGAGTCTTTGCATCACGTTTCTTAACGAATCTTGTGGTTTCAGAGATGCAATATTTTGAGATAAATAAATATTCAAGTTAAAGAGTAATAAGTGTAGCTGAAGTTGTCAATTTATCGAAGTAAAAGGTTTTATTTTCTCCGTCGAAGTTCGCTTTCATTGAGAAACCGCAGTAATACCGACACTTACTCTAGGAACGTTGCGTATCGGCGAAGTATTTAGGTTCGACCGTGTGCATAATTTTTCACTGCTCGCCGCGGACCGGTCGTCCGTTCGCGAGTATCGGCGAACCCGTTAACAAAACACAAATTTCCATAAATTTTGATGAGAATGTACGCAGCTTCGTTCTGTCCGCAATTCAGCGGAACAATTCACGGAGAGACAGAGTTTCCTGTGTGCTCGAATTCGTCTACGTCACGGCTTTTGACGCGTGGACAAAAGAGCAGATTAACAAAAACACCGAGAGAACGCGCGGGCGCGCGCGCGCAAGAGAAAAATAATGCACACGAGCAGCGCAAAATATTAAGGTAAAAGGTAGAATGCGGAAAACGGGGAAAACGAGATACGGAGAGACGCACAGATGGAGCCGGAGTTGATTAAAAACAAGATCAAGAAAAATAAGTCGGCCGGGAAAGGGGAGGAAACTCTGGAGTCGCGACCCAACGGCGGAGATAAGGAAAGTAAGAAAGATTACTATCAGGATGATTAAGCAGCGGAATGCGGATCGTATGCTTGTATCACTTTGATCTTCTGAAACTCCGGATAGAAAGTTCTCCCTTCAGGAACTTGAACAGTATTTTAAGCCATGTATTTAAAGCGTGCCATTAATTTATAAATATATAAACGAAGACATAAATGTTCGGCCAGGATTTGATGCATCTATGACAAAAGAATACGACGCGAAAAGTGAAATAGAAATCGGTATCGTGTCTCTAACGATACATCTAATGTGGTTTTATATTTTTCATTTTAAAATCGTTAAAATTGTATTTTCCATAGGAAACGATGGAATCATTTTCTGAATCCAACTACGTGTTATATCGAGAATTACGAAAAGTCTAAACGAATAAAATTCTGTCATCGTTACGGAGCAACGCAGACTTTCAGCGCTCGATAGGGTTAGCGTAGGTATTACTGCGGTTTCTCAATGAAGGCGAACTTTGACAGAGAAAATAAAACCTTTTACTTCAATAAATTGACAGCTTGAGTTATACCTATTATTCTTTAACTTGAATATTTATTTTTTTCAATATATTGGATCTCTGAAAGCACAAGTTTCATTAAAGGCGTGGTGCAAAGACTCAACGTTTTCATAAGCTTCCGAATATCAAAAGTCAATAAATGAACTAAAACTGCGATTGCTGTTACTTGCATGTCATAAATAATCAATATTAAACGTATAAAAATGATGAGATTCATTTTTCGAAGATTACACACTGTAAAATGTTAGATTTTATTACTTTTATAAAATACCGCAGTAATTGCGGCGTCCACAGTAATAACCATATTTACCCTAGGTTCAAGTAATTTCAAATCGTGAACCGCATTATGATATCGCTAAATTCTCTCAACGTTTCTACTGTTTCAATTATCTACAACCATTCACGTCGCGACCGTACAAAGCTTAATTATCACGTCCGACTTACTCTTGTTAAAAGAAGAAATAAATACGTTCTCCCGCAATTGGTCCGGAAAATTTCGTTTCCGCGCAAAGATCCGCGGTGCTGGTAATGAAATTAATCCGCCGACCGGCGTGTAGCCGGGAATATCTCGCAGAATACCGTGCACGGTGGTTTTCGAAAAAGATCAGGAGCGGGACACGGGGAAGTGATTAAACTCCGCCGAGGGACGTTTCGCGCGCACATCCCCGGAGGATTAGGTGTGCCATGATACGGCGAAATAACGAAGCCGATGTTTCAAGGGTATCCGTCTTTTTCACCGTGTATCCGGGAGGCTTAGCGCGAACGAATGGATACGTATCGCCGATAAAGACCGGCTGTCTACGGCGGTGGCGGGATTAAAAACGCATCGATGATTGTGTCGGCGTGATAAACAGACGGGCGAGAAAGTTCTTCCGGTCCGCGCCCTCGCGCTGGACCACGTCCACGTGGCCAACCGAATGAAAATTTCATTCGGCAAAGAAAAAAGAAACGCTAATGGAAGAACGAAGGAACCGAAGGTGGGACTCGATTCCTCGACGGCGTCGTTCCCGCAACAAAGCGGAACGCTTCTCCGCGCGGAAGTTTCTCCTTCTTGGAAGATTACTTTTTAGAACGCGCCCGGGGAGACATTTAAATTCCGCCGCGACAGGACACCGTCTTGCATCGGTTGTTTTATTGTTGCGCCCCATTGTCGGGTCAATCGCGAGTTTGCTTTTTAATCTTCCGCCTCTATTATGCCCCCGGGAGATCTCAAACATTAACTTCATTATACATCGTACAACGAAGTCTTCGGCTATTTTTTCAAAGCAAGCCGGTCGAGCTATTATTTCGAATTACGGGACGCAA